CATGGAGGCTCGGCGGAGTGTGCCAACGCGCACGGTGCCCTTTGCGCCCTTTGCCGGTCCATGGTCGCTGCATTTGGGTCAAACTAAGCCCTAAGGGTTTGGGGTTTAGGGTTTAGGGCTAGCCCTAAACCCTAAACCCTACACGCTCTGAACCCTCAGCACTTAGCGCTTCATGCTCTGGTCTTCAGGCAAAGCGTCTGGGGTTTCAGACTTGTGCACAAATTCGGGTTTGGGTTGCGGGTACTCTGAAACCCCCGAGCCGCTCGTTTGTTTATGGGGAAAGTGCAGGACTAGTATTTTGGTTCAGTGTGGAGCTTATACGCCTGAACTATCAAGAGCCACCAGAAAGCAAGCCGAAATTGTCAGCACTGTCCGTGAAGGCCCTTGGTAGGAATCTAGAACTTTTTTTGAGAAGTTGTGGTGCTTAAACCTAAACCCTAAACCCTAAACCCTAAACCCTAAACCCTAAACCCTAAACCCTAAACCCTAAACCCTAAACCCTAAACCCTAAACCCTAAACCCTAAACCCTAAAATCTAGGGGGGGGGGTACCAACAAAGAACCCCAAATGGTGACCATCATTTCGGGAACCCTGGTCTTGTAAGAACACGCCTCGACCTGTACTCCTCAGCCCTAACCCCTAACCCCTAGTCCCCAGTCCCCAGTCCCTAACCCCTAACCCTAACCCCTAACCCCTAACCCCTAACCCCTAACCCCTAACCCCTAACCCCCTAACCCCTAACCCCTAACCCCTAAACCCTAAACCCTAAACCCTAAACCCTAAACCCTAAACCCTAAACCCTAAACCCTAAACCCTAAACCCTAAACCCTAAACCCTATAAACCCTAAACCCTATAAACCCTAAACCCTATAAACCCTAAACCCTAAACCAAAGTTAAGGCCACGAACAGTTCGGCGCTGCGGCTTCCTGCAAAGCCTAAACCCTGCGAGAACCCAAAGGGTAGGGTTTAGGGTTTAGGGTTTAGGGTTTCGGGTTTCGGGTTTAGGGCTCGGGAAGCCACAGCAGGGGTACTCTACGACCCGACCAGCTGCCTGGAGGAGGAGGGTGGAAAGCTCAGATCTGTCTGCATCTGTCTGTTCATGGGTTTAGGGTTTTAGGGTTTAGGGTTTAGGCTTTAGGGTTTAGGGTTTAGGGTTGTAGGTTGTGGGGTTTAGGGTTAGGGTTGTAGGGTTGTAGGGTTGTAGGGTTGTAGGGTTGTAGGGTTGTAGGGTTGTAGGGTTGTAGGGTTGTAGGGTTGTAGGGTTGTAGGGTTGTAGGGTTGTAGGGTTGTAGGGTTGTAGGGTTGTAGGGTTGTAGGGTTTTGTAGGGTTGTAGGGTTGTAGGGTCTGTATCTTCTCTTAGAATAAGTTCAATAGGACTTGACTTCTACGGCCGGAGAACTGCAGGAAGTTGAAGGATTAGGAATCCAGGGTTCCTCAATGCTTCTGGTCGGGCTTTAGGATGTATGGCTCCTAAACCCTAAACCCTAAACCCTAAACTCTAAACCCTAAACCCTAAACCCTAAGCCCTAAACCCTAAACCCTAAACCCTAAACCCTAAACCCTAAACCCTAAACCCCAAACCCCTAAACCCTAAACCCCCTAAACTTCTAAACCCCTAAACCCCTGAACCCTAAACCCGGCCTTCGGGTAGGGTCGTCTAGTTTGCGAGGATGGGCGTCCATCATCATCACCCACGAGCGGCAGGCCCGGAACCTTTGCTGTTCTTGGGTTTAGGGTTTAGGGTTTAGGGTTTGGGGTTTAGGGTGTAGGGTGTAGGGTTTCGGGTTTAGGGTTTAGGGTTTAGGGTTTAGGGTGTAGGGTTTTGGGTTTTGGGATGGGGGGCGGGACCGCGCAAAAAAGCTGCTGGAGGGTCTACTCGGTAGCTTTATCCGCTCAGCGTATCCTTGGTTAAAGTGCTTGCAACCCTGCATATACCTACCCATGCAGCCTCCAAGCGGCCTGAACCCTAATTAAGCAAACCCTAAACGCTAAACTCCCCAGACCCTCAACTCCCCTGTACGCGAATCCTAACCCCTGAACATCCCAAACCCTCAAAATTCTTGAGCCCCACAACCCCCCTCAGTTTGGGTCTCAATCTGTAAATCCCTCAACCACACTCCGAAACCCTAAGCCCTGCACCCTAAACGCCGCACGCCGAAGCCCTAAGCCCCCGTCCTTGAACCCTGAAATCCCACTAACAAACCACCCTAAACCCTAAACCCAAAACCCAAAACCCAAAACCCAAAACCCTAAACCCTAAACCCTAAACCTAAACCCGAAACCCTAAGCCCTAAGCCCTAAGCACTAAACCCTAAACCCTAAACCCAAAACCCTAAACCCTAAACCTAAAACCCTAAACCCTAAGCCCTAAGCCCTAAGCCCTAAGCCCTAAGCCCTAAGCCCTAAGCCCTAAACCCTAAACCCTAAACCCTAAACCCGAAACCCTAAACCCTAAACCCTAAACCCTGCCCTAAACCCTAAACCCTCAACCCGAAAGCCCACGGCTCGAGCCGTCGCCCTCGGCCCATGTTCGGCTCCTTAGCCTGACTTAGGGCTTCTGAAAGATCGATTTGCCTACATTTCAGTGGATTTTAGGGTTTAGGGTTTAGGGTTTAGGGTTTAGGGGTACCGGGTACCGTGCTGCCCACCTGATGCCAAAGCTCCGAGTCTAACCCCTAGAATGTCCTAGCCTAAGCCCTAAACCCCCTAAAACCACCCTCCGTCTTACTTAGTTGTTACATGGGCCTTAGTCTTAGGAAGCCCCTGCTCCGCCATACTAACTTCTAACCCTTAGGCGACTTAGGGGACTTAGGGGGCTTATAAGTACAGTCATAATTGTGCCCTGAACCTCCAAGTAATCATCAAACCCTGACCCTGAAACCCCTGAGCCCTCAGCCCTAAACCCCAACAAGCGGGCATGTTGCATGCGGCCTTTCCTGCTTTGCAGCTCAGGCCGAGGCCGAGTAATGAGTTCGCTGTTAGGAGCATTGAAGATTGTTTGGGGTTCAGGGTTTAGGGGTTTAGGGTTTAACCCTGAACCCTGAACCCTAAACCCTAGACCCTGAATCCGGCATGATGTAGATTTTCCATTCCAGGCTTGGTCATACATAATCTTGTGGACGGTTCAAAGAAACTCCCGATCCCAGATGCAACTAATGTTAAGATGCAAACTTCTGGATGCCCAGATAACGCAATAGACGTGGTCAGTTCTCTAAATTAGGGTTTTCTGGGGTGACTATTATGAGGCGGCCCCTTGTATCTAGGGTACCCAAAAAGGGAACACAGTCTAGAGAACTGACCATGTTGGTAGACTATCGGATCTCCTCCATTTGTAGGATGAAAGAAAAGTGTATCAGAAAGAATATCGCCCAACACGAAAAGAAGCGTACTTAACAAGATTGGTTCTGCTCATAAACGCAGGAGAGCTGTCATCAACATCACCCAAGTAAATAGAGGGCTTCCTGGAATGTCAGATTCGAAAATCGCAGATGTAGAGTTCTGTGTCCCTAAACCCTAAACCCTAAACCCTAAACCCTAAACCCTAAACCCTAAACCCTAAACCCTAAACCCTAAACCCTAAACCCTAAACCCTAAACCCTACGCCACCCGATCCGTGCCACTTCGGCTTCCTGCCCAGCATTTCGGTGCCAAAAGTTGCCTCCTGCGCGCCTGGGCCCCCCCATGCCCTCTTCCGCAACGCTTTCGGAGATGGCTTCCCAGGGCTACAAGCAACTGGGTGGGTTTAGGGTTTAGGGTTTAGGGTTTCGGGTTTAGGGTTTAGGGTTTCGGGTTTAGGGTTTAGGGTTTAGGTCTTAGGGCTACAAGCAACTGGGTATGCCCTTGGGGCATTTTCGATTTTCCTTTCTATTTTCCCTTCTTGCAGGAATATTTTTCAGAGGATTTCACGGTCCATCCAAGGCAAGAGACGCCACCGACAGCGACGATGGAGGTTACCGACACCCACTCCGTTCGCGCGCACAAGACCCGCGTTTCCGAGGAGTTCAAGCAGCTGGAGAAGAGTGACCCCCTGCTACTTGGTAGCTGGGTGGGGTTTAGGGTTTAGGGTTTAGGGTCAGCTGGAGAAGAGTGACCCTCTGCCGCTTGGTCTTTGTGGACTCCATTATATACAAGTGTCCAAACCCTAAACCCTAAACCTCCAAAAGGGTACCCTGCCGAGGCTAAAGGAGAATCCCCGGCGCTGGGTCATGTTCCCGTTGCAGTACCCGGAAGTCCGGTGCTGAGTCTCTGGGGCGATGTGTAGCCTTCTCGATAGAAACCTGTGCACGAAACCCTGAATACGTAGCCCTAAACCCTAAACCCTAGACCCTGCACCCTAAACCCTGAACCCTAAACCCCAAACCCTAAACCCAGTAGCCCTAAACCCTAAACCCTAAACCCTCAACAGCCAAAAGCCCTTGCTTGGCGGGTCCGCTGCAAGAGCTGCGCCGACAGCATAGCAGACCCATAGGCGCTGAAGGGTTTAGGGTTTAGGGTTTAGGGTTTAAGGTTTAGGGTTTAGGGTTTAGGCTTTAGGGTTTAGGGTTTAGGGTTTAGGACCGATGATGAGGATGATGCGCTATCTTTCTGCGCATCCGGGTTTTTTGCGCATCTCAGAAATATTCAGGGTTTCGGGTTTAGGGTTTAGGGTGTATCTCAGTGACATACCCCTACTTTGTGGAGCAACCCAATGTCAGCTCCAGCGCCTTGATCTACTATCTGCTGCAGAACCCCAAAAGAATCTTAAAAAGTGATAATCCCCATATTACCCTGAGTAAGGAAGAATATTTTATTTTTTTCGGGGCTCTTAAGCAATTAGTAGCCCTAAACCATAAACCCTAAAGCCTAAACCCTAAACTAAAGGGTGGACCGAGGCAATATGCAAAAGTCCGACTCACTTTCAAAAAAGCCCTAAACCCTAAACCCTAAACGCTAAACCCTAATCCCTAAGCCCTAAACCCTAAACCCTGATTAGTAGTGATGCGAGTTGAGGTCTGGGAGATGTACAAGAAGCATGAGGCATCCTTCTGGACCGCGGAGGAGATTGACCTCGCGCAGGAGGGGCTTAGGGTTTAGGGTTTCGGGTTTAGGGTTTAGGGTTTAGGGCCAGTGCTCAGGGAGGAGGTGGGTTAGGGTTTAGGCCCTTACGTGCAAGGACAACAAGGACTGGGTGACATTGACAGAAGGCGAGCAGCACTTCGTGGCTTGGTAGCCTTAGCCTTTTTTGGGGTATTATATTCCCTATACAATCTTACCCTAAACTCTAAACCCTAAACCCTAAACCCCAAGCCCTAAACCCGAAACCCTAAACCCCAAGCCCTAAACCCTAAACCCTCAACCCTCCCTACCGGATACTCGTACAACTAAGCTAAATCAGTGTTATAGATCCTTTTTACTTTTTGGGTTATGGGCTTTCTTATATATACACAAAAAGGATCCTTTTTCTCTTCCTAGGGGAACAGGGATTAAGTAAGGTGAAACATGTCCTGGCCTTCTTTGCAGCGTCTGACGGCATCGTCCTTGAGAATCTCGGCGCGCAGTTCGCTTCGGAGGTGCAGATCCTTGGTAGCCCAGTGGTGCCCTTTTGGGGTTTAGGGTTTAGGGTTTAGGGTTTGGGGTTTAGGGTTTGGGGTTTAGGGTTTGGGGTTTAGGGTGTAGGGTTTAGGGTAGGGTTTAGGGTTTAAGGGTTTGGGGTTGAGGGTTTAGGGCTAGTGGTAGCCCAGTGGTATCCTGTGCGCCCTTTTTTGGGCGGTTCTGGGTTCCCTGACTAAGCAACCAACCCCCGAAAAGGGTACCCTTATCATAAAATGGAAGCTGGGCTACCAAGGATTCCTGAGGCCAGGGCGTTCTATGGCTTCCAGATCGCCATGGAGAACATCCACTCAGAGACATACTCGCTCCTCATTGAGCAGTACATCAAGGACCCTTATTGCCTTTTGGGGGTTTAGGGTTTAGGGTTTAGGGTGTAGGGTTTAGGGTTTAGGGTTTAGGGTTTCCTGTTTTGGGTTTAGGGCCCTTATTCCCCTTTTCCAAGGGTTTTTTCTGTGGTTTTTGGGTTCCCTTGGTAAGCCCCTTTAAACCCTGGCAAGGACCCGGCGGAGAAGGACGGGCTCTTCGATGCCATCCACACGATGCCGGCAGTTCAGCAGAAGGCTCGCAACCCTAAACCCTAAACCCTAAACCCCAAACCCCAAACCCTAAACCCTAAACCCTAAACCCTAAACCCTAAACCCTCAACCCTCAACCCTAAACCCTAAACCCTAAACCCTAAATCCTAAACCCTAAACCCTAAACCCTAAACCCGAAGGCTCTCTGGGCCGTGCAGTGGATGAACCGCGAAAGCAGCTTCACCGAGAGGCTGGTGGCCTTCGCCGCCGTGGAGGGTACCTGGGACCCTCTGAACCTACAGCGTTTATGGGTTACTACCCTAAGCCCTGAGCCCTAAGCCCTCAGCCCTAAACCCTAAACCCTAAACCCTAAACCCTATACCCTATACCCTAAACCCTAAACCCTAAACCCTAAACCCTAAACCCTAAACCGTAAACCCTAGTCCCAGGCATCCTCTTCAGCGGCTCCTTCTGCGCGCTCTTCTGGCTGAAGAAGCGGGGCCTGATGCCAGGGCTGACCTTCTCCAATGAGCTCATCTCGCGCCTAGGTTTAGGGTTTAGGGTTTAGGGTTTAGGGTTTAGGGTTTAGGGTTTAGGGGGCTTAAGGGTTTAGGGTTTAGCGTTTTAAGGGCCCTCCTAGGCGCGACGAGGGCCTCCATGCGGACTTCGCATGCCTGCTCTACGGCATGCTGGAGCACAAGCTGCCGGAGGACGTCGTGCATGAGATCATCCGGGGAGCTGTGGAGGTGGAGCGCGAGTTCATATGTGGGGCCCTCTCTTGCGATCTGATCGGCATGAGCCTGGGATTAAACTTTGAGATTCCAAGGCTCCATAGGTATATAATCCTACGGTGCAATCTAAGCCCTAACCCTAAACCCTGAATCCTGAACCCTTAACCCTTAACCCTGAACCCTACACCCCAATCTCAGGAACAAGGACCTCATGACTCAGTACATCGAGTTCGTCGCGGATCGCCTGCTGACTGCCCTTGGGCATAGCAAGATCTTCAACTCTTCGAATCCCTTCGACTGGATGGAGATGATCTCGCTACAGGGCAAGACCAACTTCTTTGAGAAGCGCGTTGGGGAGTATCAGAATCTCGGCTTATAGGGACGTGGGGCTTTGCTTGGTTTAGGGTTTAGGGTTTCGGGTTTCGGGTCCCCTTCCCCCCCCCTCCCTCTCGTCTCCAGCGGCTACCCATCGCCCTAAACCCTAAACTCTCCAGCCTAGCCCTAAACCCAAAGCCCTAAACCCTAAACCCTAAACCCTAAACTCTAAACCCTAAACCCTACACCCTAAAAACCCTAAAAACCCTAAACCCTAAACCCTAAACCCTAAACCCTAAACCCTAAACCCTAAACCCTAAACCCTACACCCTACACCCTAAACACCCTAAACCCTAAACCCTACACCCTAAAAACCCTAAACCCTAAACCCTAAACCCTAAACCCTAAACCCTAAACCCTAAACCCCCCAAACCCCCCAAACCCCCCCGAAACCCCCCCCAGACCCCTAAAAAGCAGGAAGGCGGGCGTGATGGCCAGCCAATCGGATCCGTTGACAGCCTTCGCGCTGGACAAGGACTTCTGAGGAGGGCTTCGCACAGTGAACCTTGGTAGCCCAGTGGTACCCATTGGGGTTTAGGGTTTAGGGTTTAGGGTTTAGGGTTTAGGGTTTAGGGTTTAGGGCTAGTGGTGGCGCAGTGGTACCCTTTGCCGCATTCCCTTGGATATGGGTTCCCTTATACAGGAACCAACCCCCCTCCAAGAGGGTGCCCTCATTCTGATTTGGGTGTTTACGAAAATAGGGGGGGCCCCCAATATAGACAAAAGGCAAGGTTCCCTTCTAATCAGGGCCCCAATAAGGTACCCCTGATTTCGGAACCCCCCCCCATACTTGGAGGTTCGTGGTACTTAGCAACCAAACATATCTGTATTTGTAACCCACTTGCAAGCCCCTTCGTTACCCTAACGTGGTTGTACTTGGGTTGTAAGTGCAATGACTTGTTGGGTAGGAAGTACCAAAAAACCTCCAAGTAAACCCCAAACCCTAAACCCCAAAACCCTAAACCCTAAACCCCAAACCCTAAACCCTAAACCCCAAACCCTAAACCCTAAACCCTAAACCCCAAACCCCAAACCCTAAACCCTAAACCCTAAACCCTAAACCCTAAACCCTAAACCCCAAACCCTAAACCCTAAACTCTTGGCTACCAAGGAACTGGGTTGAAGCCAATCGACGGTGGACCGGATTGGCAGTCTCGAAGTCTAGGGTCGACTCACGGGTTCGGATGATGATGGTGGTGGTTTAGGGTTTAGGGTTTAGGGTTTAGGGTTTAGGGTTTAGGGTTTAGGGTTTAGGGTTTAGGGTTTAGGGTTTAGTGTTGCTAGGGTGCTGCTGCATCGGGCTTCCTGAACGCAGAGACGTGATCAGAGTTTGCCCATGGGAGCCAGCAGGCTTTGGCCGATTGTGAAGCGTTTCACACCTGCAGGTGCAAGGCCGTCTTTCTCGGCCTCGTTTGTTTAGGGCACGTTTAGGGTCCAGGGTGTAGGGATTCTAGAGGCGTAGTACGGAAGCCCATCAAAAAACTCGCAGTCTCATACCTCAGAATCCCTAGATAGCAGAGAACAAACGGTACGTACCCGTTCTATTGCGATAGGCCATAGGATTTCGACCTTAAACCCTAAACCCTAAACCCTAAACCCTAAACCCTAAACCCTAAACCCTAAACCCTGAACCCCAAACCCCAAACCCCAAACCCCAAACCCCAAACCCCAAACCCCAAACCCCAAACCCCAAACCCCAAAGCCCAAAGCCCAAAGCCCAAAGCCCAAACCCTAAACCCCAAACCCAACCCTAAACCCTAAACCCTAAACCGTCCGGCGTCATGCTGGGAGCCGCTCTGGCGGGCAAGCCGCTTTGGCGGGCATGCAGCATGTGCTTGCGTAGGGGACTGGCTGACCTGTCTGTCCCCATCACGGAAAAGACGGCCCTTAAACCCCAAACCCCAAACCCCCACCCCAAACCCCAAGCCCCAAGCCCCAAGCCCCAAGCCCCAAGCCCCAAGCCCCAAGCCCCAAACCCCAAACCCCAAACCCCAAACCCCAAACCCCAAACCCCAAACCCCAAACCCTAAACCCTAAACCCTAAACCCTAATCCCTTCCCCCTTTTATTAAACGGGGCCCCCCCCCCCCCTTTAAAAATTCGAAAAGTGTTTTTTTTTAGGGGGTATTCTTATCGAAATGTCATAATTCATTAGACTTCTCAAGTAATCAACTTAAGTAACCCTCTGAGGGTTTGTTTGGTGTTGAGAGGTTTCTTGGAGGCCTGAACCCCCCCCCCCCCCCCTAATTCGGAATCGGGTTTTAAAGGCGGGGTTGGTTTCGGCAGGATTTTCCGGAAAGTGTTTTTTTTTATTAGGGTTTCATTTAATAAAAGGGGAAGGGACCCTAAACCCTAAACCCTAAACCCTAAACCCTAAACCCTAAACCTTAAACTCTAAACCCTAAACCCTAAACCCTAAGTGCCCTAGAAGGACCATGGTGACCCGCACCCCCCCCCCCCCCCCCCTCCCCCGGCTCCATGACGCAGGGCCCCAAGCGGCCTGCCTTCCGAAGCGCTGCGGCCTCCGGTGCCTTCAGAGTTTGGGGTTTAGGGTTTAGGGTTTAGGGTTCAGGGTTTAGGGTTTAGGCTTTAGGGTTTTAGGCTTTGGGGTTTAGGGTTTAGGGTTAGGGCTTGGGGTTTGGGGCTTCTAGAGGGTCTAGCACAGCTCAGACTTCTGTGGGGGGAGCCTTCAGGGCTTGGGGCCTAGGAGCGTCTCGAGATCTTTGAGTGGGCCAGTTGTTCTCTTTCTTGGGGGGCCGCATACCCTAAGCCCTAAACCCTAAACCCTAAACCCTAAACCCAAACCCTAAAACCTAAACCCTAAACCCGGAACCCGGAACCCGAAACCCGAAACCCGAAACCCGAAACCCGAGACCCAAAGCCATAAACCCCAGGTTCCTTATTGAAGCTGCCCAAACCGACGTTGCGAAACGGTCGCCCTAAATATGTGGAGTATATATATATATGTACATATAGATGCCCCCCCCAAGAAATTGCAGGTAGTTGGGGGCCCAGGCAGTCCTCCATTTTGAGAAGCCTACAACCTTAAACCCTAAACCCTAAACGCTAAACCCTAAACCCTAAACCCTAAACCCTAAACCCTAAACCCTAAACCCTAAACCTGAAACCCTAAACCCTAAACTACTTAAGCCCTAAACCCTGAACCCTAAACCCTAAACCCTAATTAGACCCTAAACCCTAAACCCTGGCATCCTCCGCCGTGCAAGCCCTGCAGCCAGCACGCGCGCCTAAACCCCGGAGCCCTAAACATCGGTGTATGGCCTGGGACTAGGGTTTAGGCCAGTTTAGGGTTTAGGGTTTAGGGTTTCGGGTTTAGGATTATGGCCCCCGCCCCAAAGGTAAGGAGAAGTCGATCCTAGGTGCAAGAGCCCTGTCCATGGCCTGCTATTCAGCACATACAAGCACGCATGTATGCGCGCGCTCACACACACACGGAATAGACATAACGCACAGAAGACACGGAGCACACAGAACACAGACAGAACACAGAACACATAATATACTGACGCGCAGAGACACGGGTACAGAGACACGCAGGCAAAGATGCATGCATACATGCGTTGGGAGGGGCATGAATGAGTGCGCGAGCTGCAGTTGGTCTGTAACCCAAGCTCTCAACCCCAAGCCCCAAGCCCGAAGCCCTAAAACCCGAAGACCCTAAGACCCCCAAAACCCTAAACCCCTAAAACCCTAAAGACCCCAAAACCTTGAACCCCTAAAATCCTGAACGCCTTAACAGACCCTAAAACCGTAGACCCCAACAAGCAGCCAGGAAAGCGAGGAGATAAAACCCTGACACCCTAACCCCTAGCCCTAAACCCTAAACCCTAGCCCTAAACCCTAAACCCTAAACCCTAAACCCTAAACCCTAAACCCTAAACCCTAAACCCTAAACCCTAAATCCTAAACCCTAAACCCTAAACCCTAAACCCTAAACCCTAAACCCTAAACCCTAAACCCTAAACCCTAAACCCTAAACCCTAAACCCTAAACCCTAAACTCTAAGCCTAAACCCTAAGCCCTAAGCCCTAAGCCCTAAGCCCTAAACCCTAAACCCTAAACCCTAAACCCTGAACCGCAACATCCAGAAAGCCAGGTCTGGGTGCACCGACACTCTGCGGCCCGGAGCTTGCGGAGCCTAAGGGGCCGCCTTCCGCGCGCGGCGGGGGATGAGATCTCGAAGAAGGAGGGCCCCTGCCCCCCCCTTTCCTTGGGTTTAGGGTTTAGGGTTTAGGGTTTAGGGTTTAGGGTTTAGGGTTTAGGGTTTAGGGTTTAGGGTTTAGGGTTTAGGGTTTAGGGTTTAGGGGGTTAGGGTTTAGGGTTTAGGGCGTAGGGTTTTATGTCGAAATGCTTTGCTTATGTTTCGGCGCAAAGGGTTTTGGTGTCGGGTTTTGGTTTTTTGGGGCTTATGGCGGCTAAAGAGTGACCCGGGTTGACTAGGATGCCTACACCGATCCTGCCCTAAACCCTAAACCCTAAACCCTAAACCCTAAACCCTAAACCCTAAACCCTAAACCCTAAACCCTAAACCCTAAACCCTAAACCCTAAACCCTAATGTTCGCGCCTGGCTTTCACAATGCCGCTGGCTTCATCCTGCAGGCTCAGGCCATGGTTCGCGCGGTCCGCTACAATGCAGCAGGTTTAGGGTTTAGGGTATTTAGGGTTTAGGGTATTTAGGGTTTAGGGTTTAGGGTTTAGGGTTTAGGGTTTAGGGTTTAGGGTTTAGGGTTTAGGGTTTAGGGTTTAGGGTTTAGGGAGCACATGGATTCACACTGGGGCCTGTGGTTCCCAACCGCTGCGCCTGTGGAGGTGGGCATGCAGGCCCCGCCTCGCCTACCTGCACCGACACCAGATTATATGCTGCAGGGATCATCGGCTTCCCTGAGACCCTAAACCCTAAACCCTAAACCCTAAACCTTAAGCCCTAAACCCTAAACCCTAAGCCCTAAGCCCTAAGCCCTAAACCCTAAACCCGAAACACTAAACCCTAAACCCTAAACATCATCGGCTTCTACAAGCTGCTGAGGGTTATCAGATTCTTGTTGGGTGCTTATGGTTGCTGGGGTTGAGTTGGAAGAGAATTGTAGCTCTAGGGGGGCCTACTCTCCTGCAAACTAACATGGAAACTCCCATAGGTGTTTTTGGACGACACTTTGTTTGTTGGTATAAGTTTCGGCCCGAGATGCTATGTTAGTGGGTTTGGCCTGTAGGCCAGAGGTAGGCCAGAGTAGATGGCAACTCGCCCAGTGCTCTCAGCCTTGTGGGGTTTTGCCTGGGGAAAACCTGCAGCATACCCCAATACCCGCTAACTGCCATGTAAGTGGTTTTAGCGTCCCAAAAGGGTCCAAAACAGCACATTCGAGGCAAATCTGTGAGATGCTGTGTTAGTGGGCTTGAGGTGTTTTAAGGGACATACTAACATGGAAGTTGCGTGCATGCCTTCCCGCAACAGGCTGCTTCTGA